CTCCTATGTTTACTGTGTTGCTTTTACCTTTTAATGATTTCCACCACAGAGAGATCTGTACTAGTTATTTGGAGAACTGTGTGTGGCATGAGGGCTTGTATGATCTTGAGTGTTGACTTCTAATATTGCGTGAAGAAATATCCACATGCAAGAATAAGTTGTCTTTCTAGTTCATATTTCCTCTTAGTTCCAGGCTTGTTCCTGACTCAAAGTATATGGCATTAAGCATTAGACTCTTTCCACAGAACAAACCATGTATGTATGTATGTATGTATTAATGCTGGTCCTGGGGCTTGAACTCAGGGCCTGAGCACTGTCCTTGAGCTTTTGTGCTCAAAGCTAGCACTCTATCACTTGAACCACAGATCCATCTCCAGCTTTTTTTGGTGTTTAGTTGGAGCTAAGAGTCTCAGGGATAAAAAAAGAGAGAGAGAGAGAGAGAGAGAGAGAGAGTCACAGGGACTTTCCTACCTGGGCTAACTTTGAACTGTGATTGTCAGATCTCAGCCTCCTGAGTAGTTAGGATTACAGGTGGGAGCCATTGGTGCTCAGCCACCGAACCAAACAACTTTAGCACATCAAGAAGAGCAAAATTCCCTTGTGTGTAAACTCAAATGTTGCAAGTACAAACTGACCTTGGCTGCTGGAAGAGCTGATGTGGGCAAAACAGATGTGAGCAGCAGCTTCCTCATAAGTGATTCAGATGTCCCAGCTTTGTGCCACTAACAGCTATAAATAAAGGCAGGCTCTGGGAAATTATGAAATTATTTTAAAAGCCTTTCTGAAAAAAGATAAACAAAAATAACTGCATAGAATTGCAAAACATAATTTTATTGAAAACTGTGATTGATGAAGATAAGGGAATGTCAACATGCATATATGTGAGTGTATGTGTGTGCGTGTGTGCGCGTGTGCATGCATGTGTGCACCACTATTGGTGCTGGAACTCAGGGCCTCATGCTTGCTTGGCTTTTTCTTTCATGACTGGCATTCTACCACTTGAGCCATAACTCCGCTTTTGGCTTTTTCCTGGCTAATTGGAGATATGAGTCTTATGGACTTTTCTGCCCAGGCCAGCTTCAAATTGTGATCCTCAAGATCTTAGCCTTCTAAGTAGTTAGGATTACAGGCTTGAGCCACCAGTGCTTGTCAATATTCACTTTCCTTTTTAAGTTCAAGTGCTTTTAATATGAAAAACCTTCCTCTGCACAAAAGATTTTTTTTGTATTAGGGTGTGCAAGGAAGTGAAGCTGAGAATTCATCTGAGGAACAGATGAAGTGCACACCAAGGGATATTTAAACTTCAGCAGGAAAAGAAGGTTATCAATGAACTGTAGCTGAGATCACACGCTCCTTATCTGCAAAGAGCAAGAATGTGTGATAAGCTGAAGTTCAAAACAGAATTCATTTTAGAGATAACATGTGGAAGCTCCAGGGCCCAGATGCAGTCTCTTTTTCTTTTCAGCCTGCCACCTGTTGCTGTCTGAATTTCACTGAATCACAGCAATCAGCACCTGCAGTTAACAACACATATGAAGTGTTTCACGCTCTCCAGTCAGCGATGAGTCCACTGAAGGGGGTTGCTAAAATGTAGGTCATTGACTCACATTCCCTGAAAATAAGTCAGGATAGAACTTAGGATTCTACTACATGGTGTGTGTGTGTGTGTGTGTGTGTGTGTGTGTGTGTGTGCGCGTGTGCACACACTCGTGCACGCACACATTTTGAGTACAATTTATTTTGGCCTGTGCACCTGCGCCAAGTGTCAATGTCCTAAGGGGATTTGGCATCACTTTTCCTGGACCTCTTCATCGTTCCCTCTATTCCCCACATTAAGTACTAAATCACTTCAGTGCTAACTTCCTCCTACCCTTACAAAACCAGGACAGGAAGTGAGGCTGCATGTGTCTATTCATAAAGTCAGGAATGACAACTAGATTTCCATCTTCAGGAGGGAATGTGGGCAATCTGAAGGAAAGCCTGCCCAGATGGGAGGAGCTTCAGACAATGAATGAAACACATTTAGAGATTGGGACCTTCCAAAAGTCTGAAGGAAGAAAAAGATTGAAAGGAAAGCATGGGTAGAAAACGAGGAACAAATGATGGAGAATAGGCTGAGTTGCAAGTGGTAGGTAAGCCAGCACTTCATTCTTCTTGTGTGTAGATGATGTTAATGACCTTTCAAGGAAATGGTATTGTTTGAACTTTTTTCCCCCCATTTTATTTTCTTTCCCTCAATGGGACGGATCTTTGTGTATTTAGTTGTTTTTCTTGCTGAAATCTTATCTTGATGAAGATATAAGTGACATAGATTTTATAGGTGCTGGCCTGGACATAAATAAGCCCAAACTTCAACTAAATGACTATAGAAAGACAGAAACAGGCAAATAACACCACACATGTTCAGTTTGGTTTGTTATTTACCTCACCCAGCCTATCCACACTGGTCTTTGTAGCCTTGTTGGAATCCTCTCAATAGATTTGTTCAAGATGGCTTCCAGTTGGGGTTTGGGTTACTGAAAACCAGCCCGTGTTCTGCTTGCCCAGACTTCAGCATGGGTTGTCTTCAACTTGGAAGTAGGTAGAACTTTTCTAATTCCCCATCCCTTTTTCTTCATGCCACCACACAAGTTTAAGATAGGACAATAGTCATATTCAACAACAGTCAGTTCCATTAACAACTCAGTATGATTTTTCGCAATGCCAAGCAATCTTTCCATGTTCAAAAGACACCCACGTATAAGAAGCTAGCACAATTAACAGCTATCACTCTCAGGTCAGTATCTTTCCTACCATTTCCCTTTTCAATTGCTTCAGCACTGGAGAGTGCTCGGCAATGTACATTTCTGATAGCTTACGCCAAACCTGAATACTTAAACTGAACAACTGAATTCCTTTAAAAAGGACACGCCTGAAATGTGAGCATAAACTCCTCCATGAGTTCCACAGTACCAGTCTCACTTAACAAGGAAATTTTAGGGACTTTATTAGGCCAGAATAACACTTGTATTTGAAAACATTACTCTACTAGGGAGCAGACAGAAGAAAAGTGAAACTGCACGGGAAAAGCACTTACTGCCAGGATTTAGGAGAAATCAAAGAGATGAAGGGGAACAGAAATATCACTTATCAGGTCAAGGTGGCCCATCTGTGTGTGTGTGTGTGTGTGTAAGAGAGAGAGAGAGAGAGAGAGAGAGATCTTTTGGCCCCCCAAGTCCACACACTGTCACATAAATGTTCCAATTAGTCCATCCACTGCCACTCATTATGCCAATCAGTAGCAGACATATACTTTTTCTTTCCTTTTAACTAAGAGCTAAATTTTAGCAGAGACACATGTCTTAAACTTCAGCTCTAACAACTTCTGCATCCAATTCGCTGTCATTATCGCTGTTGCATGTTTTCAGTGCAGGGAGAATTGGGAGACAGGTCTTTGTGTTTCTGACCCATCAATACCTGTTCTTTGAGGAGCCTGCTTCACTCCAGAAAGAGAAAAAAATGACGATTTTATGCTTGTTATTTTTTCTCATCCTATAATCAGTACCTGCTGAGAAGGGCTATGGTGTGCATGCAGAATATAGATAGCACTTAGTAGGCAATCAATACAACCTTTCTGAGGCTGAAGAGGGTGTGTTATCCAATGTTGTCTTCTCTGCCTGGGAAGAAACTGAGGGAAGACAGTGTTCATGGGCTGTGCGGGGATCAGGAGGGCCAGCCCTCTCCTCAACCTGGAATCTATGGCTTCTTCAACTTAATCATGATGGGAGTTCCTCCAGCCTCATGGTGTGGGCCAATTAGTGTATTGGGATATATGAATTGCCAAGCCCAAGCATCCTTTCAGGGTAATAGGGTAAACAAGCTACATATGGCCTAACCCAGGGTCCTCAGCCTAAAATGTCAGAAATATCCTTGCCCTTCTGTAATCCCTCCAAATGCACACAGCTCCAATTCTAGGCAAAGGCCTCGTGGTGGCTATTTGCATTCTAAGCATCACAGTCTTTGCTATCCCTTTGTACATGCCTCCCATCTTCCACCTTCTTCTGCTGACTCAACAGCTGTGTCTGGGAAGTCTCTCTTGTTCCCTCATGGTGGGTGGCGACTCCAAGGCTTCCAAGCTTGCATCTATCATTGTACTGATCTCATTATCTACCCCCTGTTTCTGAGACTGTTTACCCAAGTAGACTGTGTGCTCTCTGGGGATTTGCAATACCTTCTTTGAGTGAACGAACGCACAACCTAGTTATGAAATAAATGGTAAAATTGTTTGGTCAAAGCCAGCTTCCCATTCTTTCTTTCAACATATATTTGACAGCTACAAATGAAATAGATAGATTTTATAGTGTATTAGGATACTGAAGTCTTTAGAAGAAAGTGGCCACATTAAGTCTTCTCAATTTTAGCTTACGTGAGGGTATCTCATTGCTACCATTCCACATGTTTCCAATGTATTCCAACTAATCTCAGCACCTCTATCACTCTCTCTGATCCCCTTCTCAAATGGTTTTATCAGGCTTCATTGTTCTAATTTTATTTTTGTATTTTTTTTGGTCATGGGGCTTGAACTCTGAGCCGGGTGCTGTTCCTGAGCTGTTCAGCTCAAGGTGAACACTCTACCATCCGAGCCACAACACCACTTTCGGTTTTCTGGTGATTCATTGGAGATAAGAGTCTCATGGACTTTCTGCCCAGGCTGGCTTTGAACCTCGATCCTCAGATCTCAGCCTTGAGCCTGGGGCCTGTCACTGTTCTATTTTTATAGTTTTACGTTGTAAATACTCCCTGATAAATACATTGCTTGAGAGCCATTCTTCTTTGTTTCACCCAGGAGAAAAGGATCTTCCCTTTTCCACCCAGGGATGTTGTTTTGAGAACGTCTCTGGCTTTTTGTCCTAGGCAGAGACCACATGAGAATGTCATTACTTGCAGTTGCATCAGCGCATCTGTACCAGGCAGAATGGTACTGCATTTGCCCAAAGGGAGAGGAAAATAAGCTGACTGACCTTGTGCAGCTCCACAGGAGTTGGGGACATGATCTCCTTTATTTCTTGTTTCATTTTTCTCAGTGTCACAGACTTCCTGCCCACGTCTGAGGGCAGGGTGTTGCTCCGAGTTGTTTGGCTGTAGTGTGGTCGAGAGCTGCTCCTTTCCTGGAAGCTGGCCTGTCGCCCCAGCTGACTGCGAGGTGTTGGAGCCTCATGATTCAAACTCATAGTGCTCCCCGACATGATTGTTGCCTGTGGCATTGACAATTTTCAGAAACAATTAAGCCACGCATAAAGAAAGGATTTGGTTGCTCAATATTAAGCACAATCCTCCTTCTGCCCAGTCAAAGTCAAAATACAGTCTCTTCAGGGCATAACCAAAGGCTGGAGAATGGACATACTAATTGAACTATGAAAGTCTGGAAAATGCTTTGTAAGTTACATTTATAATGCACATCTTAAATCCAATGTAAGGACTTAAGCCCTTGAGTTTATTTAAACAAATACCACCTCTAGCAGTTTTTAAAATGAGTTGAAGAGTTCCAACATTTGCTTACTACAAACAGCATTTTAAACATTAACTTTCTATCAACTGGGTTCAAAGAGATGGGATTCAAGAGGCCACCTTACACAAATGGGATTCAATGCACCTTAAAAGAAATGGATGAAAGCTGGGCGCTGGTGGCTCACGCCTGTAATCCTACTACTCAGGAGGCTGAGATCTGAGGATCTTGGTTCAAAGCCAGCCCGGGCAGGAAAGTCTGTGAAACTCTTATCTCCAATAAACCACCAGAAAACCGGAAGTGTCACTGTAGCTCAAGTGGTAGAGCGCTAGCCTTGAGCTGAAGAGCTGAGGGACAGTGCTCAGACCCAGAGTTCAAGCCCCACGACTGACAAAAAAAAAAGAAAAAAGAAATGAATGAGCTGGGTGTTGGTGGCTCACACCTGTAATCCTAGCTACTCAAGAGGCTGAGATCTGAGGATCAGGGTTCAAAGCCAGCCCTAGCAGGAAGGTCTGTGAGACTCTTATCTCCAATTAACCACCAGAAAACTGAAAGTGGTACTGTGGCCCAAATTGGTAGAGTGCTAGCTTTGAACAAAAAAAGCTTAGGGACAATGACCAGACCCTGAGTTAAAGTCCCATGACAAGAAAAAGAAGAAGACGAAGAAGAAGATGAAGAAGAAGGAGGAGGAGGAGGAGGAGGAGGAGGAGGAGGA